TCTCATTTACACATCTAGATGTGTATAAGAGACAGCTCTCTGTGTGGGCAGCCCATTTTTAATGCCTCTTCCCCCCCCCCCCCGAAAAAAAAGAAAAGAAAAGAAAAAAAATCTCAATGCCTCCCCTCCCCCCTCCCCCCCCCCCATCGAATTCCATGCCGTGTTTTGAAGGGTCGTTTTCTGGGGCGAGGTCCCACCTAACCCGATTTTTTATTTCTGTTTACGTAAATTGCGAATATCAACGACCAGATACAAAGAATCCAGTTCAGTGGAACCTTTGGGGGGGATTGGGGGGTTGAGGGATCCTCATTAAATGATCGCCTTACTCTAAATCTGCAATTGTTATCAGCGTAGATTCGATGATATGGAGTCTTTTTTTTTTCATTTATTCATTTTTTCTTTTTCATTTTTTCTTTTTTTTTCTTTTTTTTTCTTTTTTTTTTTGGGGGGGGGGGGAAGCAGTCCCTTTGCTTTTTATTTGTTTTTAAGCACGATAGCAAGTACGGCGGTGGGTGACAAATCCAACAAAAAAAGGAAAAAACTTGGGCGAATAAATTGTGCGTCTCAATGATTGGAAGAAGAGGATGCGTGTTGCCCCAGTAGTGATGATGATGATGATGAGGATGATGATGATGATGATGATGATGATCATCATCATCATCATCATCATCATAATGACAATCATCAGCATCAGCATCAGCATCATCATCGATCGTCATCATCATCAGCATCAGCATCAGCATCATCATCGATAATAATAGTAATTCATCATCATCATAAAAAAAAGGCAACCTTGTCAAAAAAAAAAAAAAAGGAAAAAAAAAAAGAAGGCAAATCGGGATGAAAATCATGATTTTTATTTTTTTTGAAAGTACCCACTGGAATCAATGCAACGCCGGGATCGGGACGAATGTTTTGGCGCGCCTAAGCCAGTTATCCATGCGGTAATTTTGCTGATGTAAAATGTTTCTAACCGCGACGGGGATAAAAAAAAGTAAAAAAAAAAAGGACGTTGAATGAGACATACGTATTGTTTGGGATTACGTTTAAGATACTAATTAAAAGAAAGAGAGAGAGAGAGAGAGAGAGAGAGAGAGAGAGAGAGAGAGAGAGAGAGAGAGAGAGAGAGAGAGAGAGGGAGGGAGAGAGAAGGCAATGATCGTTCTAAAATATTTTTTGAGCCCAAGGATCTGCCTATTAAAAAAAAGAAAAATCTTACGGGTGAGAAAAGAAAAATGAAAATAAAATAAAAAAACATTCGAAAACTATGAATGTCCGGGGAGAAAAAAAAGGAATGTTACAGAGCAGAATGTGTCAATCAGCTCCAGTTCTTTTTGGTTTTCTTTTTATTTCCCAAAAAAATCGGAAATTTATTGGCCGCATTTGTAAAACACTCCCAATGTTAGCCAATTGGCCCTTCACGGTCCCAAAAAAAAAAAAGAAGAAAAAAAAAAGAATATAAATTCCAAAAATAAAAATTTCGAAATTGAATTCGAGCTCTCTTCAACGGAAAATCTGGTCCCAACCAAATCCAGTCCCCAACTTTCTTTTTCTTTTTTTTTTTTGGGGGGGGGGGGAGAACAAGACTCCAATCTATTCGTGGGGAGCAGCACGTGCCGTATGAAAATTTACATAGACTTTGAAAGTTGAGATACCGGGGCCATTACCCGGCTTGGCTAAGAAAAATTGGGGCTCCTTAGGAAATTACTACGACAGTGAGAAAGCCAGCGATGAGAAGAAGAGGCTTATCCAGAAATTGAAAAATTGAAAAAAAAAATAAAATCCAGAAATTGCTTTCTGGATAAGGGGAACGTGCGCGAACCGAGTTTGAGAGCGCGAATTTCTGTAACGCTCATTCTCTGTCACGTGTTGAAGAGCAAGTGGTCTTTGGCCATCGCTCTTTTCTGCCTATCCATATAATTATGAAAGCTTATCCACAAATTTATACAAGCTAAGCCTTATCCAAATGTGGATTATATATGATCTCTCTCTCTCTTTTTTTTTTTTTTTTTTTTTTTTAACCGGGTCTAGGTTATACAAGCTTATTCTCTGCTGCTCTCATTGGAAAGGAAGAGTCTATTTTGGACCAATCGTTAAAACTCAGATAGACCTTTTTAAAATTTGCCATATCAGCCCCCTGGGGTCAAGTCCCACTAGCAGCGTTGAGTTTCGTCCACGCCTGAATCTGGACGTGTTTCTGGAGATGTGCGGTTAAGGAAACACAAAGCGATTTGGGCTCATCTCCACAAACACGTCCAGATTCAGGCGTTGAGCAAACTCAACGCTGCTAGTGGGACTTGGCCCCTGGATCACTGCAATCACTCTGTTTTTCCAAGACACCATATCACCCTCAATATCTTTTTTTTTTTTTTTTTTTTCAGTAATGTGGTCCGATGGACCACGGATCATATATTAAACTGATCAGGGAAAAAAAAGGTTATTCCTCAGTATCTGATCGCCCAGA